TGCAAAATATTTTCATGTTTCTTATATAGGAACATGTATCATATGTGTGCATAAGTCCCTGTGGGCATGTCTCTAGGAGACTGTTTGTTCATTTGCCTTTCTGATTCTGTGTATTTATAGCTGTTACTCTTTCCTCAAAGTTGCTTTATTCTTATGTGTAAGGCAGTGTGATATTTACATAGTCACCTACTGAACATGATGGAGAGCCATTTAGTTTAGCTGGTTTCTGAGAATATCCTTCTGTATGATGATATGGATGCCATGAGAGATGAACAAATAGAATCCCCTCCTGATCAATATATTTGTGGAGAAAGTCCACTTCCTATATAAAATTCTGTTCAAATCAGCAAATAAATGATCAGGTACTTATTAGGTACATACACATTTAGGTACCAAACAGGATGCAGAAAATCATCTCTGCACTAAAGGAGGTAGAGTCTAGGTGGAGATACGTATTTGTATGGTTACTGTAACTCCATCTCTTCTGAGGACCTTAGAAATAAGCTCTTTTCCTTATGAAAACTAACCCCTCTACATGTGGACTTAATTCTATTACCTCTCATCTTCTCTAGCAGATTGCTTCCTGAATTGTTTAACACCCCACCATCTTCAATAGCTTCATATCTAATAGTTTCTCCCTACTGCCTTTAACAATACTTTGTTGGGGGCAGCTAGATGGTGTAATGGATAAAGCTCTGGCCTTAGACTCAGGAGGACCTGAGTTCAAATGTGATCTTTGACATTTACTAGCTGTGTGACCCTGGGCACCCCAATTGCCTCACCAAAACAAAAAAAACCCTCAATACTTTGTTGTTGTTCAGTCATATCTGACTCTTTGTCACTCTATTTGGGATTTTCTTGGTCAAGATACTGGAATGGTGTGCCATTTCCTTTTCCAGCTCATTTTACATATGAGGAAACTGAGGCAAACAGACTTAAATGACTTGGCCAGAATCACACAACTAGTGTCTGTGGCCAGATCTGAACGCGGGAAGATGAGTCTTCCTGACTCTGGGCCCAGCACTCTATCCACTTCACCATCTAGCTGCCCCTTAAGAAGACTATCCTCATCCTAAAAAACAAACAAATAAATAAAACTTCACTATGCCCTACTACCTCCTGAAGCTATCATCATATATCTTTTCTTCTTTTCTCAGCCAAAGTTAAAAGTATCTACACTTGTGGCCTCTACTTCCTCCCCTTTCATTCCTCAACACTTCACAGTTTGGTTTCTGGTCTCATTTTTCAATTGAAACTACTCTCTCCAAAGATACCAATGATCTGATTGCCATATTATGTTCTTATTTTTCATTCTTCACCTTTTTCAATCTATCTGCTTCATTTGACATGGGTGACTACCATCTCTTTCTAGATACTCTCTCCTTTCTGGGTTTCTCTCTCTGCTCTCTTCTAGGTCTTCTTATCAATGAAAAAGGAGATAATCTCTCTTTATAGGCCAGGTTCCCCTATGACCCTTGTAAATCCAGATCTGGGGCTTCTCAGTGGGAAAGCATATCCCATCTTTCCAGGTGTGCAGGAATTACATTATCATTAATACTATTTAAGGATTACTATATGAACGTGAGCTATGACAATAATAATGGTAGCCATTATTACTACTTCTTAAGTAGAGTTTAAGATAGATTTGATAGTATCTTTTTAGCTCTTTTGCTTACTCATCATCCATACCATGCTTCCTATTTGTTCCCTAAGGTTCTGTCCTAAGCCTTTTTCTTTTCTCTCCACACTCTTTCTCTTAGTAATCTCATTAGCTCCATCTATCCAGATGACTCTCAGATCTTTATATATTCAGCCCCAGTCTCTCCCTTAAGCTTCAGTCATGCATTGCAACTTGTCTGTTGGATATTTAAAACTAGATGTCCTGGAGACATCTTAAACTCAATATATACAAAACTGAATTCATTCACTTTCCTCCCAAGCCTTCCTTTACCCCACCATATTCAGTCATGTCTTACTCTTTGCGGGGTTTTCTTAGCAAAGACACCAGAGGGGTATGACATTTCTTTCTCCAGACAGATCTGAACTCATGAAGATGAATATTTCTAACTCCAGGCCCAGCACTCTATCCACTGCACCACCTAGCTGCAAATTTCTCCTCCCCCTCAACTTCCTTATTCCTATCAAAGGAACCATTATTCTTCAGTCTTTCAGACTGGTAACCTCAAAATCACCTTTAATTCTCATACCACTCTTCCTCATGTTACACATTTATCAGTTGCCAAATCTTGCCATTTTCCCCTTTACAACATTTCTTGACTCTTAACCCCATCTCTCCACTCACACAGTTACCACCTTAGTTCATGCCCTCATCACCTCTCTAGCACTTACTACAATCCATGGAACTTAGTAGGTGTTTAATAAATGCTTGTTGACTTGACTTCTTACATAGATTATTGCAAAAGCTGCCTAACCAACTAACTGGTCTTTTTGTCTGAAATCTTTCATTACTTTAGTTTATTGTACATACTACTGCCAAAGCAATTTTCCTTAAATGCCACCCTGCCCATGTGACTCCCTATTCTGTCGACACCAGTGACTTCCTCTTGCCTCTAGAGTAAAATAAAAACTTTTTTGTTTAGCTTTTGCAACCTGGCCCTATGCATCCTGGTCCCAACCTATTTTCCAGATTTTTTGGACATTACTCCTCCTCCTGCAATCTGCAATTTAGCCAAACTAGACTCTTATTTGTTTCTTACACATGACACTCCACCTTCCAGCTCTGAACCATTTCACTGGCCATCCCAAATGCTTGGTATGCACCCTCTCCTTACTTCCATCTCATAGATTCCTAATCTTCCTTTAAGATGAAGCTCAAGCATCTTCTATAGGAAGCCTTTTCTGATCCCTCTGACTGCTAACTCCTTCCCTCCCAGACTACCTTGTATTTAACTATTTTGTATTTATCTATATTTGTTCACTTCATATTTATGCTGTGTATACACATCCACACATGTGTATGCATTTGTTGTCTCCTCCATTAAAATGTAAGCTCTTTGAATGCAGGGATTGTCTCACCTTTGTCTTTGTATCCTCAGTTACTTAGCACAATGCTTGGCATATAAACATTCATTCAAGAAACACTTGTTGATTAATTGATTTCTTTGCTATGAGGGTCATTGAGTTGAAGGGGAATGGAAATTGCTAAAGGGTTTCCAACTATATATCGTATTTCCTGGGATGGTAACCATAGCTAAAAGGACTACAATCTGAATAACAACCTGTATATTATGTCTTAGAATAAATTTTCTTTTAAATGAATAATAGAACCCTTGTTAGATTTTTTTTAAGCCTGGAGAGATATCTATATTAATTTGTTGAGATTATTTTCTTTAACTTGATTTGTACATGTTTATGTCTGCATACATCATTTTCTTGCTTGTAAACATTCTGTGTGGACTAAGTATCCATCCCCAAAGATCTCCTTTCTTATTCTGTGCAGGGGACTGAATTCCCATTGAACTAATGAAGTCTTCCCCAACCTGAGGTGATTTTAAAACTTTTCAGAGAAAACCAGTGCATGTTTATCCTTCAACATGCAAGGTATTCCCAACCTGAAGACATATGTCCCTTGGACTTTTGAAATCCACAGTCCAGACTTCAGCTCTCTCCTCTCTTTGTGTCAGGAAGACACAGTAACCCTTTGACTACAGAAAATTAAAGAACTGGACTACCTACAGCTTTTCAGGGAATTCACAAGATGCTGATATTTTGGGTGGGTGGGCAGGGAGCAGGAAATATGAGGAACAGCAAGAGAAGACAAGAAACTTATGGGAAAGGGATGCTGAAGATCAAGTCAGAATGACAACCAGAACTGGACTCTTCTGAGTGAAAACAGAGCTCTGGAGCTCAATTAGAGAGCATGTACAGAAAGAAGGCTGCTTCTTGATTCTTATAATCACTTCAACTTAAGACTCAAGGCTCAGAAAATTGGTATTGGCACTTCAATCTAATGTAAAAGTCATCTGTCAAGGGCCTACTATGTGCAAAGCACAGTGTTCAAAAAAAAGGAAACAATGTGTAGATCAAGGTAAATAGACATATATAGGCACCTCACTATCCTTTAAAACTCTAACAAGGGGAATGTCATTTCTTTAAAAGAAAAAAATTCTTCTGAGAGAATATTTAGATTGTTGGTTAAACCTTAGATCCTCCTGTGTTAGGGGATACACAAATAGGACAAAAGTTCCTGAACTCAAGGAATTTACAGATTAGGGAGAAAAAATGTGAAATTGATATAAAGGTCAAGGATACAAAGTGTCCAGGAAAAATGTTATGAAACTTTAAGGTAAAAACCTAGAATGCAGTGGGGAAAGCACTAGATAGAGAACCAGGCAAGCTGCTTTCTTCTCTTTTGGCTTCAATTTCCTGATCTGCAAGATTTGGGGAGGGATAGACTAGATAATCTCTAAATTCCAAGCAGTGTTGGTTCTGGGTCTTTGCAACTAGCCAACTCTTTCCGGAGACCGCAGGGCAGTATGTGGGACTCAGAGGCAACCTGCCAAAGAAAGCCCTTCTGGCAATCTTGTTTGCAAAACACAGTTCTGTCCTGACTCTCCGACGCCAGTGCCTGATTCTGACTGCAGCCTAAAAGGCTAGGAACCCAGATCTCGAGAATGCCACGGGAGCTAAACAAGGCTCTTTTCTCGGAAGGCATTGGGAAGCAGAAATTCGGTCACAGCTGCAGTGACCGAGAGAAGGGAAAGTTTTTAGCGGTACACAGAAGTTCAGACACCGCGACCAAAGAGGAAGAGGTAGAGGGTGAGAGAAAAGATATAGAACTTATTTAAGTGTGTGAATCAAGACCGAGAGGCCTCTTGAACTGCATTATTTCCTCAATTCATAAGCTACTTCCCCCAGCTTTTCTCTCCTTAATACGGGGCCATAAAGCCACTAGGTTTGTTTTAGGAGAAACTCCGTGGGGACACAAAGAATTGGTTAAGTTACCACTCCACTCTAGATGGGGCCAAGTGGAATCTTACCTTATGCAGCAGCTCCTCATTGTAACCGGAGTGTCCTACTCCTCCCATGTAGGGTTCAGCTCTGGGCAGGTCCATGCCCGGGTTCAGAGTTTCTCCTCTTTGATTCCTCCCAATGCCGGGCTAGCGGCTCTCTCAATTGCTCTGCGTCAGCTCTCCTTCTGTATTAACACCGCTGACATAAAGACAACGAGCTAAACCCCTACTCAGGGTCCTGCGGGCTCCAGGTCACAGCCCTCAGGAGCAGTCTGCATCCGGTTTCAGCACAGATGAATCGCTGGGGGAAGGCAGTAGCTACGCAGTGCTGAGCAGACGGCAGAGAACGGGTCTGCCCGAGGCTGGGGAGGCGTTGTTTCAGTACCAAGGACAGAGCTTTAAAGGCACTAGTACCTGGGACAACTCCCTGACACAGGGCAGGTTTCAGGAATTTCGGCAGGATCCTGCCGAGGTCAAAGGGTGGCTGCTGCGAAGTTGCCAGGATACTGGGTTTCCGCCCACTCTCAGCTGAGGCTCCTTGCACTGCTCCTCAGCGTTGCCTGCCTCTTTGGCGGAGTCAGACTTCAGAGGCTCTGCGGCTGGCTCTAATCCCAGGGCGTTGCGGTTCTGGCACTGCCAATTCCTACTTCTACAATAACTCGTCACACACGCACCTTGTCTGGTCTTCTTGTGCACTTACAGAAATAGTCTGGCGTTAGTACAGCTCCCCTTTCTGTCCCTGAACAGCACACTTGGAACCAGGAATCCTCGACTTCTGGGATACTTTCTCTGAACTCTTGGAAATTGAAACTCATTGACCTGAAATTCGGGGTCTCACTCTCCATCCCTACTTGAAAGGTTCCGGCTTATTCAAGGGGCAGTGATCAGTGGCCCTCTAATGGAGTCTCTTAGGTTTGCTCCTTGTAATTTAGAATCCAACCCTCAGTTGCCCCACAAGATAAGTCCCCATACATCAGAGTGAAAATAAACAAACACAAACCTGATTGAATTTGTATTTAGATCGGGTTCAAATCCAGTCTCTGCCACTTACTATCTGTGGGACTTTGGAAAAACCACTTGGCTTTTCTGAGCTTTAGTTTCCTTGTCTGTAATATGAGTTGGTCTGACCAGGTTATAGCCAGAGTCCCTTCTCGTGTGAAATCCTATGAACTTTTTAATCTTCAAGGTACCTTCCAGCTCTAAATCATATCTCCTTCTGTCTCTAGTGTGAATGTAGGAGAGGCAGACAGATGTGTCAGAAAGAGTACTGACTTGACAATCAAAACACTGTCCAAATTCTGGTCCAACTTCTTTCACTGGCCAGGCAAGTAACCAATGACAATTTGAAAAAACCATGAGCTTCAGTTTTCTCATCTGTAAAGTGGAGATAACAATATTTTTCTTTCTGATAGTTTAGTTTAATGGATCAGGTGAGAAACTGAGTATGAAACCTGAGTATTATTATTGCACCTTGCACATAGAGGTTTTTTTTTTTAATCCTTTTTTTTTTTCTGGTGAGGGAATTGGAGGAGGGATTGATCTGGACCTATGATTTTGTTGGTGTGAGGGACTTGTGGTGTGTGGAAACTTTCTCTACAAATGCAGATTAGTACCTTACAGGTAATTTCTATTCCTAGGGAGTGGCCAGGAGTACTGAGAGATAATACTGGCTGGCCCATGGTCATTCAACTAGTATGTGTTAGAGGTAGGACTCAGATTTTTCCTGACCCCAGTGCTAGTCTCAATCCACTGTCATGCTGCGTTGTAGTCAATATTGAATAAATAAACTCATGTCAGGATGCAAGAGATGTTTAATGAGCTCAGAAGAATATCTTACTTTAAATTATCCCTCTCTCCCCAAGCACTCCCTCACTTCTTGCTGACTCTTATAGTTAGGTGGCCAGAAAAGAGGCCATCTGGTTATTTCAAGATGGGATTTATGGAAGTGTCTATACCTCAAAAATATCTCCATGGAGACAGAGTCTGGTTTTTAGCTCTGTAGGCTCAAAAACTTGATTTTATCAATTCTCTGGTGCTTGTCAGACTCCGGGGAATTTGTTTACAGGACGTTGTAACCAGAACATCAATTTATTCACTTACAATGGCCTAGATATCATGATCAGTACTGGATACTCCTTCCTGGTTTCCCCAGAAGACCAAATTCACTCAGTACAGATGATTGCTTGGTAAGCATAGAATTAGATTATACAAAGTTTAAGCATAAGATTAGATTAAATAAAGTTAGATATTCTATTAAGCTGTTGCAATCATCCTGTTCTCTAGGGCTATTTCTTTCTAAACAACTTGGACCAGCAGTCTAAAATCAGAACATTCTCTTCCCTTGGGCAGTGCTGGAAACACTCAAATCTTACCTTCTAACGTGCTCTTCCTAGATTCCACGCTTTTTGTATTTCTCATGACCAAGTCAAGATTATAGCTTATTTTATGGTAGTTTCATTTTAAGTTGATGTGTTCTTGATAAGAATACTTCGATGGATCCTTAATTTCATTGGTGTAGGCAATCCCTTCAATGGACTGTTGATATCTTCTCGTTCAGTGCAATTCTTGTTTGTATTCTTTCAGAGGATCTACCCTATACCCTAGAAAACTTCCTTTAGGTCTTTTAACATTTTGTGTTAATATTATACCTTTACCTTTATAAAGAGAATGTTTTTGTACCATCTGCTACTAGTTTTTCTGTGGGCTTCTGCCTTCAAATGTGCAACTGCAATATGGCTCCCTTGCTTCGTTTCTGTGACCCACGTATGTGAAAATATTCCTAAGTGATTCAAAGTTGAGCCTTCTTGACGTGATCTGGTCTTTGAAGAGGCACAGCTGTCTTCCATCAAAATGAGTAGTAACCTTAACTCTGGTAGCTGATATATTGAAAACAATGCCAGGCAGCTAGGTGGTGCAGTGGATAGAGCATTGGCCCTGAAGTCAGGAGGACCTGAGTTCAAATGTGACCTCAGACCAAACACTTGACACTAGCTGTGTGACCCTGGGCAAGTCACTTAACCCCAGCTGCCAAAAGAAAATAATGCCCTTGAGGCAGACCTGGGAACAGGGAGTTTATTTTCATACGTATACAGCATGAAATAATCCTTTTGGATTATTTGCTGGCATATATATGTGAAGGACCCTCCTTTTGAATATACCTTTCACTGTACCTTTGAGTAAAGGATTTAAATGAGGGAGACTACCCTTCACCCTCATCTACATGTACAGCTAGATATGTTACAAATGGCCCTTATTGGGCCAGCATGGAGTATACTCAGAGTTGCCCTTCTGGTGAACAGCATGGGAGCTCTGGGACCTGCTTTTGATAATGTGGTGACCCCAGCAAGGGAAGGCTTTGGCGTTTTAGTATTACATGGCAAATCCTAAATGATCCATTGATCCTTCACTGTCACTCCTACCATCATGATAGCAGCAGTAGGTGGCTGTGTCAGTAAAAAGAAAAGTCAGTTTCTGGGAGGCACTGTCTTGCTGTTACACTCCAAGAGGAATAATTTAATACCAGGCCCTCGAATGAAGAGTGGGGAAAGGCTGGCCCACTCTTCCCCCACCCCCCATCATGATAATCTTAGCAACATGGCAGTTTTTGTAATGATGACTTTGAATCTGGCCCCTTGGCTGCCTTTTCTTTTCTTTTTGTTTTTTCTTGATCTTAACTGAGTTAGTATGGAATCTAAGATGGATATACCTAGGCTTAAAAGCAGCCTTATGAGTTTAAGAGGTCTGGAGGTCCTAGATCCCATCAGGTCAGAGTTGAATTTTGGGCAGGTTGAGAGGGCCCTGCCTGTACTCCTCTTGTTTGTGGCTGTTCTCTCCAAGAATGCTGGAATAATTGTTTTCTCCTGCCACCACTCAGCTTAGACCCAATAGAGCAAGAGTATTTGCCAAAAGCTATAAGTATTGGGGCTGCCAAAGCATTATTCTACTTTCCTCAATATGCAGGTGGGAACCTGCACAAAGAGGGGCTATCTCTCTGGGTTATGCTGGGGATGGGAAAAATGAAAATACTTTCATTTGGGAAATATTTGCTGAGAACATTTTTAATGTTTCTTTCCTTTTCTGTTCTGATTAAATGCTTTTATCTACCTTTAAGTCGTGGTGTGTTTGTCTACGTTGTTGTGATTGTGGGGCTTAAATGAGACAATAGGTGAAAAGCAAATCTTAAAGCACTACGTTCTCCTTCTTCTCCTTCTCCTTTTTCTTCCTCTTCCTCTTCTGCTATTATTAGCCTCCAGTCACCAAGTCTCCAGTCTGGTGATGACTTCATTCCCAGAGCCTTCTATTGCACTTCTGCTGAACTCAAGTAGTGTGTATAGAGCAGTAAAAGGTTGTTTCTAGTTAAATGCTCAACAACTAGGCCAGGGATCGGTGTATACACATACTTTTAAATTTAATCTGCATTATCAACATTTTCTTACATCTAGAAATAAACAAAACAATAAATCAGGCCCTTATTTGTAGCCATGGTCTTTTTCTGAGCTATAAATGCTCACCCTGAACATTTAACAATAGACTGGTTAGAGCTGGCTCCAGCACTCCCCTGGAGCCATCTAACTATTCTTAACCTTAGTTTCATCATGTGTAAAATGAAAATAACATTTCAATGTTGTGAGGATCAAATGAAATAATGTATTTAAAGTGATTTATAAACTATTACATGCAAGCAGGAAGAAGGCATGTGTCAGAGACCTATTTTAATGCCCAGCAAAGCCTCTTTTCCCTCTTCCAGTAAGAGAGGTATAGTGGCTTCTGTTCTGTATCTGTTGCTTTCAATTTTGATCTTATTTATTTACTATTTAATCCTGTTGGAATGCAGAAATGCTAAGTTGTGTGGGTGTTTGTTATCTGAAGCTTATAAATATTAGAGAGAGGATAAGAAAGATAGTGCTTTCCACTCTAGGGAGAGTAAAGTTTGGCTGGTACAGACTTATCTGGGGGCTTGAACCTATTAGGACAAAGCAAGGGAATTTTACTAGATTATAGAAGCCTGGCATGTGAATTCTGGATTTATATACTTCTAGAAATAAATCATGAGCTGGTAAAAGCAGTGAGGAGAGAAGCATGAGTAAGCATATTTTCCTTTTTTACTTATGGCCACTATTTTTGTCGGGTGGGAAGGAAAGCCACTCCCTGCTGAGGGAAGAGATTGCTGAATGAAAGTTATGTTTTCTCACTCCCCCATTACACAGGCTAAACTGAGCCTGCCTTGCTCTCTAGCACCATCTGCTGCTTCCATGCCGCAACTGAGGCCTGGGTGGATTCATGATGGACCCAGGCGTCTTCTTAAAACGGGAATGTAGCATTTACCAAGAGGCTAAATTCCAAGTAACCAGTGTTGCAAAGAAAATTAAAGTATGATGCTCAAGTCTGTTATCAGTTCAGAGAATATTAGAGAGATTTGAAACAGAAAAACAAATAAGGACTTGATAACCAGATAGAAAGGCAGCTAAGTGGCATAGAGGATAGAGTACCAGGTCTGGAGTCAGGAAGACCTAAGTTCGAGTCAAGTCTTAGACACTTATTAGCTGTGTGATCCTGAGCAAGTCACTTAACCCTGTTTTCT